ATTTAAAAACTGATTTAAAGCGATACAAGGTGTAATAATTAGGGTGAAAAATTTGAATCTGTCATGGGTTGACAGGAGGTGTTCCTGTGTGGGCTTGTGTGTGTTGCATATGGTTTTTCTTTGTTTTTTGTTTGTTTAGCTTAGAAAGCCAAAATACAACAGGTCACAATTTGAACCACTCTGTGAACTTTGCAACACTTGTTTGTGAGCTATTATTGTTTGTGCCTTAACTATAAAATTTGATAGGAGTAATTTCAATTGTTTTGAAGAACCGACTGAGACTTTTCTTTGCCTGGCTCAAAAAATGGAAGCAGTGATCCGGATGGCCAGTCCATCAGGTGGGACAGCCTGGCCTGTTTTACTGTTTCAAGGGCGTGACTGGACAGCCTGGCCTGTTTTTTTGCATGTCTAAATTTCAGGCTTGATATGTGGATGTCTCTCAAGCAGTTGATTCCGATTGTGAGTGAGATGTCATGTGAGAATGAATATATGACATATGACATTTGTGCTTCTTATACATTACTTCGGACTTGTGACATTCATGTTGTAAGTCGAGATTCTTGATTGAGCGCTGATTGACTGGTGACTACCACTGACTGAGCTGACTCTGTCTGTTTGTCTGTTTGAGCAACCTTTGATTTGACTCAAGTCGAGTGTGTCTTTTGTGTCTTACTCGTCAATCTTTGGAGCCATGAACCCTTATGGCCTGGGACCTCGACCTCTGAGCATCCCTGCTCTCCCACCTGATGCTCTTGAAGGGTCTGTGACTGTGCTGAGCATGTCTCCTCATGAAGCGTCCATGGTAGATCCACTGGATGATGCGATTGAGTTTTTTGAGCAGATTGCGCAAAAGCAGATCAGTGAAGTGAGATCTGGTGGGCCTGGGGATATAGATGGCACAATGGAGCGCCGGCTTCAAAAAGACTTACTTGGCCTGATACTTACCTGTGTGTTTTTGTAGATTCTACTGTGGCTTGTGAGCTGATTGTTTTGCTACAATGGCATGACACATGACACACGACAAAGTAAGCACCATGTAAACATGAGAAATGTCAGTGCGCCACATGGAAACATACATGGACAACAATTGAAACACTGACTTCTTGCACTACGTCACATTGATTTGCACTGTACTGGCTTGCACGCCTCACCTTTCCAAACCTGAACATATTGCTATACCGTACCTTTCAATTGAGGCTGACGCAGCTTTCGTACCACCTGTCAAAGTTGGACCAATTTCCAGAAGATTGGGTGCAGTGACTTGATTGATTGACACATGTTGCTATCGGAACTCTAGATCTTGACTTATGTGTTCAACAGTTACATCATCAAACGCTCATCAAACGCTTTGCTGGTTTCTGCGTTGCTTGTGGCGCAGTGCTTCTCATGTCGCATTGGTCATTCATGTTCATGTTTCAATAGCATGGATTACACACACATTCTGACTTGGCATTTGGGCACTGAGTATGGATGGGGGATTCAGATTGCAGGGAACAAGACGTTGGAGTACCTTGGCAAAACGACACTTGAATCACTAGTGACTACTAGTGTATACTAGCTGTCTTGTCGTTAGTGTTTGTACAATGGCTCAAGTACATTGCATGATGACAACGGTGTGCTGATTAATTCTTGTAGATTAGATTTTCTTGGTGATGCCATGATGCCATGCCTGACACATAGTATGAGTCAGCCCAAGTTGACAGGTTGATGCAGCAGGTGGTCTTTCAGCACAAAGAAAATCAGCTGGCAGAGGTTAAAGCTCAGAACCCGGGAGCCAGCAAAGAGAAGATTGTGAAGATCCTGAACGGTATTGACTTTCTGGCTAGTTAGTGGGCCCACTCTTTTCAAATCATTGGGTTGCAATTCAGCAGCAAAGTGCTGCGCCTGCCACGAAATCTGCGCCGGTGCCCAGCCGACGCCAGACGACGCCAGGGCGTACATCCGACCCCTTGGCAAGCAGCAAAGTGCTGCGCCTGCCACGAAATCTGCGCCGGTGCCCAGCCGACGCCAGACGACGCCAGGGCGTACATCCGACCCCTTGGCATCCGACCCCTTGGCAAGCAGCGGGCGTGTTGGAGATGTTGTGTGAGTGATGTTGTGTGTGGGATGTTGTGTGAGTGATGTTGTGTGTGAGATGTTGT